TATACATACACACACACACACATATATATATATATATATATATATATATATATATATATTATTTTGGTTGAACTAAATATATTACTTTACAGAAATTAAGAGTCACAGCAACTAATTGATGTTATTGTATAATTTCATCCTTTCATGCCATCATTCACCTGAGAGGATTTGTATCTCTGCATCTGTTGTTGGTTGATGTTTTCCATTTAGCACTAGTTAAACAGTAAATATCTCTCCATTAAGTCTGTCTCTGAGGGGTCTGATGTTGGAGCTCTGTGATGTTGTCACTCAGTTACTGTGAATCTCTCTCCATGTCATTATGACTCAGTGTCTCATGTCTTACTCATTAGCCGACTGAGGAAAACATCTGATAGGTTACCGCTCTCTCTCATTATTTCTCCAACCTAATAGGCTATTACAGAGCCCTCTACAGAATACAAAACACATAAACACAACAATCACTAGTGATAGATAGACACATCAGCCCACATTAAGCCATTTTGAGATTGTTGGCATTGGGCAATAAAAGCTTTACTGATTAGACATTTCCATAATTTCAGTTATTCTCATTTAAAGGGGTCATATTATGCTCTTTTACAAAGTCTTGATTTTGTTTTGGGGGTGTACTAGAAGAGGCTCTCATTCTAGGTTGTTCGAAAAACACATTATTTTTCACATATTTTACATTATTACAACACCTCTCTCCCCAGTCTGGCATGAACGGCTCGAATAGTTCCTGCATCAAATGAAGGTCCGCCTTCTGAAATACGAAATGTGCTGTGATTGGTTAGCTGGGCCAGTGTGTGCTGTGATTGGTTAGCTGGGCCAGTGTGTGCTGTGATTGGTTAGCTGGGCCAGTGTGTGCTGTGATTGGTTAGCTGGGCCAGTGTGTGCTGTGATTGGTTAGCTGGGCCAGTGTGTGCTGTGATTGGTTAGCTGGGCCAGTGTGTGCTGTGATTGGTTAGCTGGGCCAGTGTGTGCTGTGATTGGTTAGCTGGGCCAGTGTGTGCTGTGATTGGTTAGCTGGGCCAGTGTGTGCTGTGATTGGTTAGCTGGGCCAGTGTGTGCTGTGATTGGTTAGCTGGGCCAGTGTGTGCTGTGATTGGTTAGCTGGGCCAGTGTGTGCTGTGATTGGTTAGCTGGGCCAGTGTGTGCTGTGATTGGTTAGCTGGGCCAGTGTGTGTGTAGTGATTGGCAGCACTCGGCGCCTGGTTGGGAAATGTCATGCCCCTTACCATAGCCGCCTGCGATTTAAACCCGGTTGATTGTAATCACTCTAAATTCATCTGCCTTGGGAAAGCTAGCATGTCTCCGACATAGTGAAAACATTCGTTGCCTTCTCTAGTGCAGCTCAACCAGGTCTCGTCCCATTCGTCGATATTTGCCATATTACAAATCCCGGAAAAGATGCGTTGTAGTCCAAACGAGTCGTTCGTTGTAGTTTTTGAAAAGTGATTTCTGTTAAATATAATATCTCCTTTTGAATTGGACTTTGAGCTTTGTAACTTTGCAGATCTTTTTTATGCTCAAACAGCAACATTACAGACTAACTAAAGTTGAAAAAGTGAAAAAGCATAATAGGACCCCTTTAAAAATTATTTTTGAGTGGATTTTGAGCAATTGTCATTCTAGATTAGCTCAGAATAGCAAATCGAGTTTTTAATTTATTTTAATTAAATTTTTATTTGGGTGCATATGATGAGTTTATTTGCAAAAAACAGATAACTCAGTTTTTATAAATGTTCATAAATCATGTTTTTATTGTGTTATCAAGTATTTATTGTGTTAGTTATCTGTATTCTTATTATTATTTTTAGTTATTATTATTTAATCAAAACACACAACTGCAGTTTGATTGATATTAATTAGAATGCAGAATTAAAAAAAACATGATTTTTGAACTTTTTTTTTAAAACGGAGTTATCTGTTTTTGCAAACGAACTCTTCATATAGGCCTAGAGATTAATCAAACCAAAACAGCTGATTTAGATATGAAAAGGCTGTCTGATTGACATCAACTCACTAATCATGGATCACTTGCTTTTTTTGGTGACATTTTGGTTGTTGAAATGTGTCTAAATATATTTGTAGTCTTAATAACAAATTATATAAATGTATTAACCCCATTTATTTATTTCTATCATTGTTAAAGACGTCATTAATGTCATTTTGACAAAGCATTACATTTGAAACCGTATTAAAATAAATAATTGCATGCTCCTTTTCTGACACAATCACTTCACGTGGAAGACACTGCAGGCCATGGAACAGGCGTGTTTTATTGGCTCTTCCACAGAACACCTTTACTTGCTCTATCAAGGTTATCCGAGATGCCCAATGTACAGCAGCACATCAGCATGTGTGAGGCGTCCAAATGATGTCTGCGCTGTCTCTCAAATAAGCTTCGACCACAGACCAATACAGCACCACTGAACGCATATCAAATCACAATTCATTATCTAACATACAGACAGGACGAACGTAAGCATTTAAGCGTAATTTGTAATTCATCACGCGGCATTACGCGCTCACAATGTACCATTATTACGCAACAGCTGCGCGTTCACTGAGGCATTATACGTCAAAATAATTATGGATGTTTTTCTTTCTTATGATGCATTGAAGGGATTAAGCGAATTTTCGATCGGGAAAATAGAAGAGACGCGTTCATTCTCGCGTTTCTGTAGTCTTAGCCTCTGCCCAGAGGTTTGGAAACGGCAGAGACTAAACGATAGACCGTTTCGAATAACACAGCCTACAATTTGTTTTTCCGTCGGAAATGAATGCAGAAGAGATACTCACTGCTTCCCCTGCGGATGTCTTGCTGATGCTGATGGAGAGCTACTGTTATTATGGCGGTGTGTGTGTGTGTGTGTGTGTGTATATTAATTAGAATGCAGAATAAAAAAAAACATGATTTTTGAACTTTTTTTTTAAAACGGAGTTATCTGTTTTTGCAAACGAACTCTTCATATAGGCCTAGAGATTAATCAAACCAAAACAGCTGATTTAGATATGAAAAGGCTGTCTGATTGACATCAACTCACTAATCATGGATCACTTGCTTTTTTTGGTGACATTTTGGTTGTTGAAATGTGTCTAAATATATTTGTAGTCTTAATAACAAATTATATAAATGTATTAACCCCATTTATTTATTTCCATCATTGTTAAAGACGTCATTAATGTCATTTTGACAAAGCATTACATTTGAAACCGTATTAAAATAAATAATTGCATGCTCCTTTTCTGACACAATCACTTCACGTGGAAGACACTGCAGGCCATGGAACAGGCGTGTTTTATTGGCTCTTCCACAGAACACCTTTACTTGCTCTATCAAGGTTATCCGAGATGCCCAATGTACAGCAGCACATCAGCATGTGTGAGGCGTCCAAATGATGTCTGCGCTGTCTCTCAAATAAGCTTCGACCACAGACCAATACAGCACCACTGAACGCATATCAAATCACAATTCATTATCTAACATACAGACAGGACGAACGTAAGCATTTAAGCGTAATTTGTAATTCATCACGCGGCATTACGCGCTCACAATGTACCATTATTACGCAACAGCTGCGCGTTCACTGAGCCATTATACGTCAAAATAATTATGGATGTTTTTCTTTCTTATGATGCATTGAAGGGATTAAGCGAATTTTCGATCGGGAAAATAGAAGAGACGGAATACATTCTCGCGTTTCTGTAGTCTTAGCCTCTGCCCAGAGGTTTGGAAACGGCAGAGACTAAACGATAGACCGTTTCGAATAACACAGCCTACAATTTGTTTTTCCGTCGGAAATGAATGCAGAAGAGATACTCACTGCTTCCCCTGCGGATGTCTTGCTGATGCTGATGGAGAGCTACTGTTATTATGGCGGTGTGTGTGTGTGTGTGTGTTGACTGAAGCGCATCCGCTCCCGTCGCTGCTGTTTGATGTCAGCTGTATCGCAGCAGATAACTGGCTGATCAATGTGACAAATACCATTTTACACATATCCACAATTACTTTGAGCATGTGTGTTCGGTGATTTATGTGAAGGAAAGGACAGTAAAAATTTCAGATATGCTGCAAAAAGAGTCCAAAACAAGGTGTTTTTTAAAGCAAGTGGAATTTAAATTAGATTAAATTATTTAATGTAATAATATGTGTAAAGTAGCTACGTCTGACACAAAAGTGATGTTTAGCAGTAATTTAGTACGCTCTATTTACTTTGTTTTATTTTATTGCACGTCTCATCTAGATTATCAAAATTTCCATTTTATTTTCTTAGTCTATTAGATGTTAGACTAAAGGCAAATTAGTTAAACATACATATGGTGGCTAGTTGTCGCACAAAATGTTTTACAATGTGTTAGTTTAGAATCAAAAGTTCTGCGGTATGGTTGGCAATAACTCCCTGCGCATTCATGTAGCCTAGCATAGATGAGAGCAGCAATAACACCCCAGGGTAAACAGGTAAACAGCAACATAAATGTATTGCAGATATTGTTAAAGTTCAATAATTTTATGTACACATTTTAGAATTAGTCTGGTTCAAGGAGAATCAGAAGGCTGAATCCCGACTGACAGAGGAGGAGTTGGGGATGGAGGAGGGTAATTAGCTATTGAGCAGTGCGAAAACTGCTGATAATACTGAGGGATCTTATATATGAACGCTTAGATAGGTGTCGTATTCCCATAGGTTGATGGAGATCAGCTGAAGGTCAGCTGATGCGAGCTTGACTAACGTGACCTGCCAGAACTAACACTACGCTTGATTTTTACATTCAGACAAGAGTCAACTAAATAACCAAGATGTATTTTCTTTAGGTCAGACCGGCTGTTTTTTAATGATATATATATATATGTGTGTGTGTCTGTTTGCTAAATGACAAAATGTGTGAGTGTGTGTACATCATTATATATACATATCCAAAAAAAATTATGGAAATTTTGGCAATTGTGGTTATACTTTTGTGAAAGTAGTGCATGCAAGACACAGACTGAATTCTCTGCTATCAGACTCAACTCTGTCTGAGCTTATGCACATTTTATCATCTCTCTGCAGGACGCGTGCTGTGGATTTGCCAAACTTAATGGATTTATTATGCCAACTCTTTCATCTAGTCCTTCATTTCAGCCTACATTTCTTTTTCTTACCTTACGTTAACTGAAAACTAACTTCAGAAGAAGTGCCAGTGTGGCCACTTGGCCAGATCTGCACATTAGTACCAGGTTTACTTATGAAGTTTGATTAATTATGATTATGAATGTCTTCTGAGTGTATTTATAGCTGTATAAATCAGTGGATGATGTTTTTTTTTGGTAAAATTCAGACAGAAGTCAAAGGTTGTGTGTTCGGTGATTTATGTGAAGGAAAGGACAGTAAAAATTTCAGATATGCTGCAAAAAGAGTCCAAAACAAGGTGTTTTAAAGCAAGTGGAATTTAAATTAGATTAAATTATTTAATGTAATAATATGTGTAAAGTAGCTACGTCTGACACAAAAGTGATGTTTAGCAGTAATTTAGTACGCTCTATTTACTTTGTTTTATTTTATTGCACGTCTCATCTAGATTATCAAAATTTCCATTTTATTTTCTTAGTCTATTAGATGTTAGACTAAAGGCAAATTAGTTAAACATACATATGGTGGCTAGTTGTCGCACAAAATGTTTTACAATGTGTTAGTTTAGAATCAAAAGTTCTGTCAGGACCACTATCGTCAAAGATGATTGACAATTAGCGTACAGTTTGGATTGGCGGTATGGTTCTGTTCTGGGCAAGAACTCCCTGCGCATTCATGTAGCCTAGCATAGATGAGAGCAGCAATAACACCCCAGGGTAAACAGAACAGAACCAACATAAATGTATTGCAGATATTGTTAAAGTTCAATAATTTTATGTACACATTTTAGAATTAGTCTGGTTCAAGGAGAATCAGAAGGCTGAATCCCGACTGACAGAGGAGGAGTTGGGGATGGAGGAGGGTAATTAGCTATTGAGCAGTGCGAAAACTGCTGATAATACTGAGGGATCTTATATATGAACGCTTAGATAGGTGTCGTATTCCCATAGGTTGATGGAGATCAGCTGAAGGTCAGCTGATGCGAGCTTGACTAACGTGACCTGCCAGAACTAACACTACGCTTGATTTTTACATTCAGACAAGAGTCAACTAAATAACCAAGATGTATTTTCTTTAGGTCAGACCGGCTGTTTTTTAATGATATATATATATATGTGTGTGTGTCTGTTTGCTAAATGACAAAATGTGTGAGTGTGTGTACATCATTATATATACATATCCAAAAAAAATTATGGAAATTTTGGCAATTGTGGTTATACTTTTGTGAAAGTAGTGCATGCAAGACACAGACTGAATTCTCTGCTATCAGACTCAACTCTGTCTGAGCTTATGCACATTTTATCATCTCTCTGCAGGACGCGTGCTGTGGATTTGCCAAACTTAATGGATTTATTATGCCAACTCTTTCATCTAGTCCTTCATTTCAGCCTACATTTCTTTTTCTTACCTTACGTTAACTGAAAACTAACTTCAGAAGAAGTGCCAGTGTGGCCACTTGGCCAGATCTGCACATTAGTACCAGGTTTACTAATGAAGTTTGATTAATTATGATTATGAATGTCTTCTGAGTGTATTTATAGCTGTATAAATCAGTGGATGATGTTTTTTTTTGGTAAAATTCAGACAGAAGTCAAAGGTCACCTGACCAACTCTGTCTTGACTTAATTTTCACGTACAACATCATGTCCTTACAAAAGGGCATTTTATGTATTCAGGATTTCACTGTGCCTAAGTTGTCACTAGATGGCAGTGGGGTTTTTAAAATAACTATTTGTTTCAAACACGACTCTCCAACTTCTTTCTACCCCAAATCCGATTGCACACGAAATGAAAGGTCACATGCCAAACTACTGAACGGCTCCTTCCAGATTTATCATGGATGTTGAGGATAATACCAGGTCAGTCCTGGATAACTTTCCACCACTTACAGTATTTACAGTAACTGGGACTCTTAAATTAGCCATGACCCTAATTCTGCTGGTGACTGCTTTAATGCCACAAATAATCTAAGGGAATATTTTATAGGCTATACTAAATGTTATACATTTATATATATCTTTACACAGGCCTGAAAACGATGTAAGTATACAGTTACCAAATGTACAGAGACGAGTTAGAAAATGTTTTTGCTATTTAATTTGATTTAGTACTGTATTAAACTACTATTAAATGTTTTAGTATCAAGCACAGGCTCAAACAAAACCACAGTTGCTGGTAAGGCACAGATGCACCCAGAACCTGATCCAAGAAATCATGTAACAGCCTAAAGTGAACCCCTGACAGTCGATAAATTGTTTTTCTTAGGAAATGAGTGCTTTTGAGTCAGCTTCTTCCAAAACTGTCCTGCCCAAGCACACAAAGCACTCTAACACTTTCAATTCCACGTGGGAAGCTGTGAACATCTGGATGATGGGTGAATATGTACTCTTTTCCAAACCAAAACATACTCATTTGAATTGCTTATGATGTCTCTATAATAGTAGTCTTGTTTCTCAAGTTGAACGGGTAAGAAATATTAATCAATATTAACATTTAGCAATTTTCCATGCATATTTCTCAATGTAAATATGATAATATTTATGTTTACATCACTGAATACATGGCAGACTGTGTCAGAAAATATCCCCTTTCTTGTCTAAACTCCAACAAAGCCTGTCTAATCTAGAGGTATTAACTCAAAATGAAACTTTCCTGGGATTGTAAAGGGCAAGGCCAGCGAGGATAAGAGCATAATGCCAAATGAAGTGTGTGTGTGTGTGTTTGTTCACAGTTGTTCCTGATCATTCATGTAATACATTCATGTAATACATGTTGGCATCAGATAATCACCTCAATGAACTAATTTGCCCTCGTTTGCTGCAACTCTAAAGGTCAGATAAGGTCTGGTTAATTATGGGATGTGGGCAGAACTTACTTGGAATTCAGAGCGGCCGATGACACTTCAGACTGCCGAAACATGAGCAGTACTGAAAATATTTCCAAACTCCAGAGGAACACTGACCCCAAACCTTAAGGGAATAAAAACATTTCATAATAAATTATATAACACTATAAATATTATACAGTTATGAAAATGGCTACTTTAATTTAGGTGGTTATGACAGCTCTGCAAGTTGTATATAATGTTACAAATTATTTCTGTTTTAAATATGTGCTGTTATTTTGAACTATCTATTCATCAAAGAATCCTGAAAAAATGCATAATGGTTTCCACAAAAATATTAATCTTTAGTTAACATAACGGTTTTCTACACTGATAATAAGACATGTTTCTTGAGCAGCAAATAAAGCATATTAGAGTAAGTGACACTGAAGACTGGAATAATGGTTGCTGAAAATTCAGCTTTGCATCACAGAAATAAATTACATATTCAAATATATTCAAATAGAAAACTATATTTAAATTATAACAATATTCCACAGTATCACAGTTTTTACTGTTTTTTAAATGAAATAAATGCAGCCTTGGTGATCATAAGAGCCTTTTTTGCAAGTCCCAGCTAACAAAAATACATTCTTAGAAAATTTTGCTAACGTTCGCATTAAGGTATGAAAACATTATTTCTGAATGTTGTTTGAATGGTCAAAATGTCTAGATTTTTAAACAACTTTTTTTTCCTTAATCATATGAAAGTTAAGGTAACATGCCGTTTAGAAAACTATATTTAAATTATAACAATATTCCACAGTAACACTGTTTTTACTGTTTTTTAAATTAAATAAATGCAGCCTTGGTGATCATAAGAGCCTTTTTTGCAAGTCCCAGCTAACAAAAATACATTCTTAGAAAATTTTGCTAACGTTCGCATTAAGGTATGAAAACATTATTTCTGAATGTTGTTTGAATGGTCAAAATGTCTAGATTTTTA